ATTCAGCCAAGCTTCTTAATCGAAAGCGTTTGGACAATGTTGGATTTGCAAAGAGAAGTGAGGGAGGGGGGTGGAAAATTAAAAGTAGCCAAGCAAAATAAAGTGCAAGGCAAGAAAAGGCAAGCACGACAGAATATCCCTGATGTCAGTGCTACATTTCAATAGATTCTAAAACTTCTGGGTTGTTTTTTTTTTTTTCATAGCCTTGCCTCAGGCAGCCTCACTACAGGGCTATATTTTGAAACATTTGAGAGGATATATTGCTTTAAAAAAAAAACATTTTAGGAAAACTTATTATTTTTGTTCTGTTTAGCTATGTCATAACTATGTGTTGCTGCATAAGCCAGAATACAAAGAAATTTACTGAAAAAAATGTTGTGCCTATTTTAAACATACATTTATATAACGTGTCATTTCATAAAAATAAATTAAGTATTATATGAGCCAAATGTTTCAATTCCATACAAGAGTGGTTTCTGGGACTCTTGGCAGGGTGCCACTATATTCATTTTTATTTCAAACACAATGTGAAGTCTTTAATTTTAACGTACTTGGTAACTATAATGGTTAGATGGCATTGCTACACTAATTCACCCTCATCCTCTCCTGATCCTGTAGAGGTTTCACTCAGGAACAGAAAAATATTTTAATAGAAAATAATAATAATAATAATAATAATAATAATAATAATAATAATAATAATTCTGAAGCCAGATACAGGGACCCGTGCCCCAAATTTGTGGCTCTGGTTTTGGTCGTTGACCTCTGAGTTCAATAACAGCCAACTAGAAAGACAGAGGGTGGATGATATCGCTGCCACCTGAGGCAAGTTTCCAGCTTTGGACTTTATTCTACAGCTGAAACAAGAACGGTTTCTCTTGGCCTATTGATGGGAGCTTTTTTCTGTGTCTGCCCCATTTGATGGCAGCCAGGTTCTGGGCCATATTTATGCCAGCTCCTTCATTTTCTGCAACAACCCCGGCCAAGAGTCAAAACTAGACATAGACAAGAAAACTGTAAAAGACCCAGGCCCCCTTGAATCTGTCATGCCCCGCTAGAAATGGGAAAGGCTGGTCCCAGGAAGAGCGGACAGTTTGGCAATGACAAATACATACATAAATCTATTTCTGCCCAGAGATGATCCTGAGGGTTCCAGTGACCTCAGTGGCAGAGTGATATTTCTTCATTAAAGGGGTTGGGTGGAGGGGGCAGGAGAGAGAAGTGATTTTCATTTGATGGGTGGCTGTGTTATGGGGAACACCACAATCACACGTTTCAAGCGATCACAGAGACTTCAGCTCCCCTCTTCCGACGCTGCACTTCAAATCAGAGACTTTCTTCCTGTGCCTTGTTTACTGTTGATATTTTCTGGCTGATTGGAGAGGAATGACATTTTGACAATTTACTGTAGCAGTAAGCACTGTGCAAACAAAAGGTGCTGATGAGAACTGGAACCCATTATTATGCAAATGACGGCTGAGTAACACAGAATCCATCTCCCAGTCACCATCATTGAGACCAGTTTTACTCAATGATAATAATTTTCATGATTGCAGACTTCAGAGCGATCAGAAATATGCTCTAGCTGTTGCATTTATCTACTGCTGGTACTTGACCCTTAATTAAATTCCGAAACTTTTTTATATAATAAAGTAAAATACAGCTGACATTTCTGTTCAAACAAAGAGTCTCAGACACAGAGCAGCCAAATAAGATAAAGGTGTTTCAGACTTACCTCACTGTATTTATAGTAAACACAATTGCACGGTGTGTTTTGAGAGGGACCCTAAAGTTTCAAATGCAGATGTGCATTTTCAAGTGATTTCAGTTCTATGCCTGGGCTCTGCTCTCCTTAAATGATTCAAAATCTCTGCAGACTCATCCCGGACACGTCATAAAAAAAAAAAAAAAAAAAAAAAAACCCACACACACAAAAAAAACCTCTTCTTGAAAGACATTTAAATGCGCTCTGAAAATAAGTTCTGTGCATTCTTTAGCCCGTCTCTGTTAATATCTGGACAAATCACAGCAGGTCCTCAAAACTGTACCAGTTAATGGGCACCACAACAGCTTTGAGAACTATCCGGGTTTTGTGAAAGTGTATTTTTTCACGAACTTGTTCTTGTCTTGAAAAGAGAAAGCCAGGGCAAATTTTAAAATAGCATCTTGACTTCTTTAATAAAAGAAATTGATTGCCTTAATTGGACAGATGTCCAGCTAAAGCAACAACTCCCAGCATCATGCAGGTATCGGCTTTTTTTTTCCTTTTCTTTTTTTTTGAGGATGGCTGAAGCAGAGGAGCCTTTGCTTAACATGACCTTAGTCTCATGAAAGCCTGCCAATGCTCCAAATCATTGGTTTACCTTGGAGTTCCTTCTCTGTTTCAGTGCAGGAGGGAATTTAAAAAAAAAAAAAAAGATCTTCATCTTGAATATGTTAATAAATACAACCCAGCTTAAAGGGGGCAATTGTGTGAGGCGGGTTTTTAATATTTCCTTAGATATAACCCTTTCTAAGCAGGCAGCTCACAAAGCCAATGAGCTAAGAAGGTAATTACTTAAGTGGATTTCACGAAGGGTAGAAAGATGATTGTGCCACATTAAATAACAATTGTGTCCTTAATGATGTGTTGGGCTATAATGCAAACATCCCTCCGCCATCCATCGAAGGCTGGCGCTCTGGTGGACCTTCCTAATGACTCTGGGGGCTCGCATCCTGCACTGCACCAGGCTTTCAGAGCCTATGTAAACACGAAGGGTGAGGTATATATTTTTTTTTAAAGCTGCACAGCCCGCAGCTGCAAGGTCATTGATAGATTAGCTATGAATTGCTAAAATACTTGGTTGGAATGTAAACGGGGTTGTTGATTTGTAGCTTTAAAAAAAAAAGGAAAACAAAACACAGAAATGGATTTGTCATGAGAAAGGGACATCAATTCCAGAACAGAACTTTCCAGAAGTTTCCCTATTTATTACATTGATTCATCCTGATTTCCAGGAAACCAAGAGAGTGGCACAGGGGTGGGAGTGGGAGGGGTTATTTAAAGAATTTCTTTTTCTTTTTGAAGATGGAAGAAAGTATAACTTAGTATTTGGTGTGACTCCTGAATAGAAACAGGAAACAGCATGGTCATATAGCAGGTTTCGTTACATACCATAAGCCTCACAACCATTGTAGGAACAAGGAAGAAAGGCTAGTGAATACAGTCATATGTGTGTTGGGACTCACCTAGCTGCTACCTAACTTAGAGGAAAACTTTTCATAATGATGTAAGCGTGGTTCCAAAGATGGTTTCCTCCGTAATCTGCAACAGTATCTTCTCACAGGCATGCATCTCATAGCTCCACAAGGTCACTCATTTCTTGATGTTAATGTTAACAAAATTGAATAATAAGATTCAAATAAAATGTGCAAAATGAAATGAACCATTCAAATATAGAAAGAACACTTTGTACTAAATTGTAAGAATTTGATTAGCATTTTTACCCACTTCAGAGAACAAAGATATAAGATATCTGGAACCAGATCCTCTTCTAAAACTACTCAAAAAGTGATTTGCTATAAGAACTCAAACAAATTTCTTATTTTCTATGTTTGTTTGTTCGTTTGTGCTAATGGAGTGAAGACTCGTAGGCAACAGCAGAGAGACTCCTGGGCCAGAGGGAAGCCCTTGCTGGGTGGCTGGTGTGAATAGATACTTATGAGTGTTTCCAATTCAGTTTTATATGAGAGTCCACAGTGACCCCAGTTTGTGGCTTGATTCCATCTTGACTCAAGGTCAGAGAGTTCAGCTTGTCTTTGCCCTTTAAGGCTGGATAACAGAACATGTGGCCAAAGGCATAGTTACCAGATGTCTTACTCTTCAAGGCCAAATAACAGGATGTTTGGCCAAATGTGTGCTTACAAGATGTCTTAAGAATTAAGGAGGTGTTTACAATAATTGTTTGTTCTTTGAACCATGGTGTCCTTGGAGGGGGAGGTCTTTTGCCCTGCTTGCTTTGGGTATAAAAAGGCTATGAGAAACAAGCTTGGGGCTACTACAATATTGACTCAGAACCCTCCCAAACCCATCCTGTCTCTGTCGTTTTCTTTTACATCTGCGTCTCTATTTTTCCTATCTGTTACTTCTCAATCCTCACTCCCCTATTCAGGACTGTTGGACAGATCGGGCAGGACCTGACAGTTTTGCTAATGCCTTACCACCAAGTGCCTACAATGAGCCAGGCTTTGCTGATCTGAGTCCCCAGTCTACCCTGAGCATAAGAAATAGCAACAGGTCTCTGGTTCCAACCATGTGGATTACAGATTGGATCTTTACTCCTCAGCCATACCAGTCTGGTGAGACAAAGAGCACCTCCCTGTCTGTCTATCTGCAAATCAAGGCCTATATTTACAGTATGAGAAAGCGAAGCTCAACTGGAGAGACAGACCAGTCAACACTGAAGTGTACGGGTCTCAATCCCATGTAAAGGAACACTAATGCCATGGTCACTATGGCTACTCCTCCCTTCCATAATCCTTTTAACCCTCTTCAGATGGCAGGTCTCTGAATACCATGGAATCTACTTGTTATAGTGAGCAGTTTGCATGGACCTGAAGAGTTCACTATTCTGTGTCCATTTTACAGGCATGAAAAATAATATGAGTAACATCAAGTATTCCCCAAAGCCAAAAAGGCTAGAAATTGCAGTCCGAATACGTAACTATTGAGGAGCAGCAGACATCTCAAAATGCTTCCTCCTTTGTTGGGCTCATGATCGTCCAGTAACACTATCACCTGGGAGGAACAAAATGCACGGTGCTTGAATCTGGTGTTTGAGGAACAAACCACCTCCAAATATGTCGCTTATGCTTTGGTTTCTAGGAGAAATGCACTTTAACAATAACAATTGTACACATTTGATCATGAGCAGGATGCTATTCCCAGCATCTAATTTGTGTGAACTTCTCCGAACAACCCTGGCAATTGGGTTCTCTTATTTCCATCCCCCATTTCATAGGGTAATTTGAGTCTCTAAAAGCCAAGTGACTTGCATGAGATCTGGGGAAGGGAAGATGAAGATCTGGGCCTAGTCGGGGCTCCCACACCTGCATCCTTGAGCTAACCATCTACCTTCTACCTAAGCAGCGATGGTCAGAGCAGCCCCAAGGCAGGTAAGAATGTAACCAAGACAGCTACACACTCTTATGAATGCCTATGTTTAGTCCTTCAAGATAAGGTGTTGAGATGTTTCTGTCTTCTCATGATATGTACACAGATTTCCAATTAATATTAGCAGTTTTACTCCTACCTTCTCACTAAAATACCGTAAACTGCAACCTCCGTCTAATGGCCTCCATGTACAGGTGTTTAATGATGCTCTATGCTGGGGCAAAATTATTCCCTAACTTTTGGATATTAGCAAGCTGATTCATATGTAAGATACTTGAAAAAAAAGTCTGCTCTCAGAGCACTTCAACAAAAGATATAAAGTGTTAGGATAAAATGCTCAACACATAGAACATTGCTATGACATTAAGAATTGCAAGGTTGCTTGTTGAAAATGGTTGTTTTGCTTTTTTCCATTTCTAAATGAGGCTCTCCTAGAGCGATAGTTTGTGTTTCCCAACAATACTGCTAGATGGCCCACTTTCCCCTTACACTTTTCAGGAACATAAAACAGGACATCTCTCTTCAGCCCCAGATAACTCTTAAATGGAGGCTGCAATGGGAACATCCGGAGAGACCCTGCTGGCCTGCAGTTTCCCTGGGCCTTATGCGAAAATGAGCCTCTTCAGCACACAGACAAGGCCCTGGGCTCATGTGGGACATCAAAGGCACTTTCTTTGCTTACACCTGGTGCTCTCAAACTGTGTTCCCAGGAGCCTCAGTGACAGTTATGGAGCAGGAGGCTGAAGGGAAAGACCTACGGAGACACCCAGTGCAGAGGAGAGTGCGGTAGAACAAGCTGAGACAGGGGGACACATCTCAACTCAGTCTCAGCTAACCCACGAGCTCAGGAGCTGGAATAGTCCCTTCCTTCAGAGTGGCACTAAGTTGATGAAGGCAAGTCAGATCTCCCTCCATCACCCAGGAGCTGGTGTGGGATGCCCTTGGAAAAGCTCTGGCTGGAGGTAAGCCGTTCTCTCCAATCAAGGGCAATTTCAAGGGAGGGCGATTCTAGATAGCTGTCAGCTCCCACCACGCCCTTGGTAACTGGAAGGGAGTTCCAGGGTGCTAAAGGCATGTGAGGACTCAACATCTTGTCCACCACATGCCGTGCCATGTCTTACCTTAAACCTAGAATGCAGTGCCATACTTCTTAGTGGAGTAAATGAATCCAGAGTCGATATCACAGCAATACCACATGAGAGTCGGCGGGGAGGTCCCCAATGGTTTGTACTTCTGCTGAGTTGAATCTTCTAGGTAGAAATTGTCCTTTGACAACAATGACAAATTGTTGGAAGTGCACTTGAAACTTTCAAAGAGAGAGTGTGTTCACGTAATTCAGTTCTGGTCTAAGACCGAAATAATAGAGCAGATATTTAAGGCATTTATTCATTTTCTCAATGTGGAATAAGGCATTTTCCTCAGAGTGACCAAAGTAGTGATTTTAAAGGTTAAAGGTTGTTTTATGTGTGTATGTATGTTTGTATTTGTTTTGGAGTGTGTGTGTGTGTGTGTGTGTGTGTGTGTGTGTGTGTGTGTGCACGCGCGAGTGCGTGCGCGTGTTCAGGTGAGTGCAGGTATATGAGGAAGCCAGTGTCATCAAATGCCCCTTGGAGCTTGAGTTACAAGCCGTTGTGGTCTTGATGTGAGTTCTGGGTATTGAACTGGAGTCCTCTACAAGAGCTCTGTACATACTCTTAACCACTGAGCCATCTCTTCAGACTCAAAATGGCTTTTGTACATGAAGGTCAAATTAGGTTGCTTCTGTGCTCAAAAATCTGCACAGTTGGTATGTGGGTAACAGCACGGAGCACTGGCTGATGACCCCCTCTCATCTCTAGACTTTGCCTCCTGCAGGTCACTCACCTCTTCTGCCATGTTGCCACAGATTTTGGCTGTTCTTTAGCTACTCCAACTTCACTCTGCATTCGGCCTCTGCACCTGCTGGGCATCCTGCTCTTGGTGTTTTTTCACCCAGACACTTTTCAGCCAAGCTGCCTGAAAAACACAGGCCATGTCAGGAAAGCCCTCATCCTCTCAGCCCTCTATCCTGCCTGGTTTCTCTTCACAGCTCTTCTCAATTCCCAACAAGAAAGAGCTGTGTGGCTGCATTCTTTACAAATACACGAATACATATATGTGCCTATATACAGGAATACACATGCACATAAACATGCATGGTCACATATGTAAAATATATGTACACACATGTGTATACAGATACAGGCACTCATACATTGTGAAGGGTTGATTCACATCCTCCTATATCTTTTAAATAATCTCTATACTATTTGTAACATCCGAAGACTATATAAATAATTATTATACCATTTTGGTTAGAGAATAATGATGGGGAAAAGTCTGTATGTAGTCATCACAGATGAAAGGTTTTTCTTAAAATAGTTTTGGTCTGCAGTTAATTAAATTCATGATCTAAAGACCCACAGATTCCAAGGGCCAACTACATATAGTTATGTGTGTTCATGTGATTATATCCCACACATATATGCATGCGTGCATATTAAAATGTATGTGTGTACTGAACTTCTGTTCTCTAGCATCTCAATAAGTCTCGGATCAATTCTTGGCACATAGCAATTAGTCATTAAGTGAATATTTGTTGAGGGAAGTGTGGACCAAGATTTAAGCTTGTACTGCACCAATGGACAAACTGTGACTTGCTGAAAAAAAAAGGCACAAGATTGACATTTGAATGAAAGAATGAGAATTCATCTCAGCTAAAAGAAAAGCATCTAATAAGAAGAAATGAAAACGTCTATCTTGAAACTCACAATCAAAAATTCATATCACATCTCATTGCTGAGCACTATATTCTGAATCCTTGAAAACAAGGCCCATGTTCCATACTTGTCCATTTCCTAAACTCCTAGTATTGTGCCTTAAACATCTTGTACACTTACTAAGTATTTGTTAAACTCAGTTGGCTCATCCCATCAATAAATCCCAGTTGGAGGCCGAGGCTCTGGGTACCTGATGCAGCGTGAATGCAGAAAGCCCGTGTGTTCCCAGAGTCATTACACTTTTTTAAAAAATCATTTTTAATAGCCTTAGACTAGTGCACCAATTTTCCCCAGTAAGTTTTCAGGCAATGACTTAGAAAAAACATTCAATATTACATTGCTATTTAAGAGAATTTGCTAGCTTTCCTAGGAATGAAAGGCCCATTGACAGGGATTGAGGAGCAAGCTGGTCAACAGCATTTATGGGGTGGACTCTGGGCTTAGCCTGCCATGGGCTGAGCCACTGTCTTAATGATCCAGAGGAAGGCTCAGGAGGCACTTGGCCTTGGGAGGGAGGTGTGTGGGGAGCTTGGCTGAGTTCCTTTATTTTCCTTTGGTGAACCAGCCACTCTACCTCCTTAGGAGAAATTGGTAGTGTGCCGTGCAGTGGGTGAATGATTGCCCCTCCTCTTTTAGAATAAATCCTTCCCCCGGAGCCCTTGGAAAACCCAGTTTTTCAGCACTCTTTGACACTCCACACCCAGCTGCCACAACTTGAGGACATACTGACATACTGGCAATGAGGATGCAGAGTTTCAGCAACAGGAATCCAGCTTAGCAGAAATGAACAGCCACCCTGAAATGCCCTATAGGAAGTGCCCACCATGTATTCAAACACAAACCAAATGGCATTAAGTCCAGACCAAAGCTTGAGGGGAAATCGACAAAGAGTAAGAAACACAGAGAAGAACAGGAACCAGAGAAGATGCCATCCAGCACATGCAGCAACAGTAAAGCTGTGGCCAGTGGCAGAAAGAGAGTTTTTAAAAAAAAAATGAGTGACTTGTAAGTGCTCACTCTAAAATCTATGCACATTTGTGAACATGAAAGTAAGATAAAATCATCTCTAATTTCACTATACATTCTAGTCCAAAATCTCTCTCCTTCTCTATCTATCTACCCATCTCTCTCTCTCCCTCTCCCTCTCCCTCTCCCTCTCTCTCTCTCTCTCAGTCTCTCTCTCTCTCTCTCTCCCTCTCTCTCTCTCTCTCTCTCTCTCTCTCTCTCTCTCTCTCTCTCTCTCTCTCTCTCTCTCTCTCGTGTGTGTGTGTGTGTGTGTGTGTGTGTGTGTGTGTGTGTGTGTGTGTGTTTGAGGCTAGCACAGACTAACCTCAGTCTTTCACAGCCCCAGCATAGTCTCCCAAATGCTGGGGTTACAGGCTTGTATTAGCATACCAGACTTGTGTAGTGAATGTCTACAAACTTTTATGGACCCTGCAGTTCTCCACTATACCAGAACAAGGAGTGGAGCTTGTTCTGCTCAGCATGTCTTACATTCTTTCGTTCATTATTTCATAGACGCATGCTCTGAGCCATTCACTGAGGCTGAATTAGAATGCCTGAGTATCATTGCCTTGCTTGATACATGAAAGATCACATGCGGTACAAGCACTTAGTATATGGACCAGCAGGAGGTGAGCAGATCCGGAGCCAGGCAAGAAGGAAGGATGAAGAAGAGAGTTCAGCTGAGGATGGACCCTGCCAGAAAGTGTCAACTTGGTCAAGCATGGGACTCCAGAGAGTTCTGTAGAGAGTGTGCTGGCTTTTCTTAAGGTTCCTGAGCACACCCACATCTCTAGATGGGTAATTCTTAAGTGGATGGCCCTGAGGACCACAAACTCATCAGAAACACAGAACAAAGAGAGGAGCACTGAGTACTGGCAGTAGGGAAGAAAAGGGGGGAACACAGCACCAGGGATATGGACAGTGGATGGTACAGGGGACAAGAGCTAGCCATAGAAGACTTACACAATTTGGTGTTCCATAGCCCATGCTTCGACTCACTGGAGAATCTGATAACACACCACAATGACTGGAAACCTAGTCTCAGGAGCCGTGGGACAGGAAATAGTGAGACACTGGAGGTTAATGGGTCTGTGTGCACTTTTAGGCACAACTCAAGATAAGTGGGTCACCAAGATAGACACTTTCTTTTAAATGTTTGGCTTTAGAAGGCTATGGTGCAGGTATGGGGTCCCCAAGGTTTTCCTGTATTTTAGCACTCAGCTGCCCTAATACTAGCAAAGGTGTGCTACCTCCTCTTCTGGCCCCTCCTCCTCCACCTCTTCCTTCTCCTCGCCTTGTCTTGCCCCTTTCCCCTTCTTTCTCTCCCTCCCTTCCCCCCCTCTGTCTGTCTGTCTCAAATATATACATGAAAATTGTCTTTGACCTTTTCTTATGGCTGCCAGTTCTTACCAAAAATTCATAGGATGTCATCTCTTTTTCTATCTCCTCTCCCCTGATTTACGTTTTTTTTTTTTTACAAATCTTTATGTTAAAGGTTGGTGCAATGGAATCCAGCAAGGGAGACCATACCTTCCATGGGGGTCTTTCCTTTCTCTCCTAGAAGGAATCTCTCTCTCTAATGCAGGCTGTGGAGGGGCGGAGGAATTTGGTAGGTTATTGGCAATAGTATGAGAAGGCTCCATAGGTACCAACACATTGGCATGTGCATGCAGGCAGGCACAGAAGTCTAGGTCTACAGCCTCAATTAAGCCATGCGTATTTCCTTGAGCATCAACATTTTAGTTCAACCCTTTCAAAAAATTTCCAAGTCAATTTTATCATTTTTTTAAATAGTTAATGTGACTCACCAACCTGTCAGCCATACTGACATTTGGCTACTTTTCCTGGAGCCCATAGCATTCCATTCCCAGAGCTGCAGTGGAGAAAAAAGGATTGTATAGGACAGGTCTAGAATGTGACCTGCGTTTATATTCATCATAGATATACTCTTGTATAATACAGCCCTTTGGGGAAAGATACAGTGAAATCCTAAAGCGGGATGTCAAAACATACTTCAGACTAGCATACAGCATTTGCCCTCTAACAGTCTTGCTGTCTGGAGTTCCCTGACTGAGGCCAGGGGCAAGCCTATGACAGTGTATGTAGGTAGAACTCAAGAAGCTGGCGTTGTGGTAGAATTAAAGATACCCCTGCACAGGCAAGGTAATCAGCACATTTTTTTTCAGTTCTCTAAATGTTTAGCATCAGGTGCAAAACTATAATTACTAGACAAGGCAAACTTGCTTTGCCTGGCATGAACCTTTCTATAGGGAGCCTGTTAACCTGGGTCTTGGAGTGAACAGCAGGAGTCAAGGTCAAACAAGCTTGTGGATTCCAAACCTGAGGACATTCACCATCAGCCACTGGTCAATAGTATCTCCAAGCTAAACCAACGCTTACTAACAAAAATTAGAAAAAAAAAATAATAATAGATTTACAAACTGTTCTCTGCTGCCACACATTAATCTTCAGGCCAAAATATTCCAACCAGGAATTTAGAAAAACCTATCCTAAAATATATTCTGGAGGGAAAAACAAACAAAATACAACACAGTGCCCTTCTACGAAGCAACACTTATTCTAGTACAAAAGAAAGCTGTGACTGGGCCAGCTAGGTTTGGGCATGCTGAGCTCATCACAGTTGAACAGGTTTCCTTTCCCATCAACTTCTCAGAGCCTTCGATATTTGTACATATGCTGTGAGTGTCTAAAGGGGGCCGTGTGCACTCAAACTATGTGTGCCTCATAAACATGGGGATTTTTTAACCCAAATGCCTGTGTTGAACACAGGAAGACTTATCAAAATGGGTGAAAAATCCTGCCTACTGCAAAGTTGTACTGGCATTCAAAGTAGGATGCAGGTGTGGAGAGATGACCAGCCATGTCCCCGTGCAATGCTTCAAAAAACAAGGGACCCCACACACCATCACTTCATCTTTGCTTCTCCAACAGATTTAAAGCAAAAATGGGGGTAAAATAAGAAAAACTCCCTAAGACTATCCATGCTAAAAGGCATTGTGTTCTGAGGATGAGGAAGGGAAGGTGAAGGTCTGTACTGCACCAGAGGTCACTGAAGGGGAAGAGCAGCACACAGGAATAAATTTGGTGCTCATGGACACATGACCATGTGGCAAATTCTTCAGATGTTCAGTTTAAACCACCACAGGGTTTGGTCTTTCCTTCTGAAAGCCGGGCCTTATCGTTCCACAATGATGTGGCCTCACTTTTTGAATCAGTATTTAATTCATTTAAGCTAACCCTGAAAGCAGCGAGTACTGTCAGAGTTGGCCAAGGGGGCTTAAAATTTATGTTTTAATTACTCGGCCAGTTCATCAGAATGTAGACACGGTGTCTGTGGTGAGGGCTTTGAAATGATTGCTGAAGAGGAAAGGCTCCCGGCACATAGAGCCCATTCACGGCATGTTTATGGGCTCTACCTGTAAAGGAAAGGCTCTGAGAAGGTGCAGTGGCAGGGAAATTGATGCAGATTTCTTGTTCATCAGATTCTGCCCGAGCACATTTGATTCTGCAAAATGGAAAGCTGGAAATGGCCTTGTGAATTTGAAGGGGAATATTGCTACTATGCAGAAAAATAAAAAATAAAATAAATTCTGAATTGGTATAAAAATAACACATTGACAAGAAAGTTTCTAGAGGAAATTTAGTAAGTTTTTTTTTTCCCCTCTGCTTTTTTTTCTGTGAACTGTATAATCTCAAGTGCAAAGGATCAAACTCACAAAGGCACAGCCTGTTGGAAAAGAAACCCCAAGCTATTGCTAATGACACACAACGGAGCTCCTATGGGCCCTAGAGTAAGGACTCAGTGAAATCAATGAGATTGATTGTCCTCAACCAAAACCTTGACTTTGTATCGTGAAGTTGAGAAATTCAAGTTACGCATGGCTTTGGTTCCCCTCCATAAAAATCCTAGAGCTGGTCAATACACGGGGAACATGGCTCAGCCTAAAGTGATCACGTGCCCAGCCTCCAGCTCTGCTCTCCTGGGACAGATGGTCCAGGAGAGTAGAAGGTCATTAACGGCCTCATCCCCATTATTGTAGGCCCAAAGACCATCCTGATGCACTCTGCTCTAGGAGGCCTAGGAAACCCACATCTTTCATAGTAATGACTTCCAGTTTACAGCCTTCATTTGTTATATTTCCTCAATAGCTGTTGTGTTGAGATTAACTGCATAAATGGTCTGCAGCTGTCTGTTATGAATTAAGGGAGTTTAATCAAAGTATTTCTAATGTACAGCATAATGATAATACATGGGGGAAGTACTATTTAAGAGATAATGATGGCTTCAGAAGATCACTGTTGTAATGTTTAGTGCATATGCCTTCAGCATTGAATTTGTTGTTGTTCTGAATATGCTTAATGGATCACTGAAAAGCTGCCTAATGCGGGATTGTTTGATGGGGCTGACAGAGCTGGAATTAGCCCATTGCTGTTTACTGCATACAGCCATTAAGATTAATTGCTGCCAGATAATTTTGACTGTTTTTATCTTCTGGAAAAAGTGTCACTAATGGGTTTATAAATTGGTTCACTATTACTAATAGTAAGGCCAGTGTAACAGGATAGAATGTCAGCTAATTCCAAAGATAAAGGTAAAAAGTATAAAGTACTGTATGGCTTGCTGGTTTTAAGGGATACTGTTATCTAATAACAGACAGACTGATATATGATGCTCATTAATGCTACTTCCTGAGATTCGGGTTGAACCTAATAGATGCTAATAAACTCTTATTTGATGTCCCATTAAAAAGCTCAATCTGCTTTCTGCATTAATGCCCAGTGTTGTTTATCACAACTTTGATGACTGAACCCCAAATTCTAATCTGTTTTGTAACCAAGTGCTGTCTGAGCACCTGGGCCTTAGTGCTGGTAGATATAAAATTCATAGAACCAAGCCAGAGAATTAAGAAAGTGCATGAATTTATAAGCATGGTATATGATTTGAAGTTCTTCTTGCATATTCCTAATTCAGATATTTTTGTGCAGTGCAAACTTCTAGAAACACTATATGAATATCCTACTCATTGTTTAGACACCATTCACAATTAAATAAAATTTCCAACACATAGGTAATTTAGCTTAGTGACTAGAAAAACACTTCTCATACTTAACTCTTACCACATTATAGGGTTAGAAAATTCTGTGCATACTTTTCTAAGAAAGTAAAATGAATGTAGGCATTTTCCAGTGGTATGATTCTTACAAATTACTTGTGGATGATCATATAGATGCCAGGGGAACCTTTCAACCTAGCTTCATGCATTTCACTGGAGAAGTTACTTAACACTGAGTAACTTTACATAAACTTTAACATAAAACTCAACAGGTCTGTAATTTTGCCAGTTTACCACAACTGATAATGAAAGTCCTTGAGTATTGAATTTCAAGTATATTCTTTACATCGGAGAGAGCTGGGAGTAAATGGAAAAGAATACAAACAGACAAACAACAAACACTTAAATCGAGTAAGGAATAGGTAATTCCAGGGCTGTGAAGGTGTTCTTTCCTCAGTAATGGATCCTGTGAAGTGATTAAGCATTGTTCTGCAAATTCAAAAGCATGGGTTTTTTAAAATATCTTTTGTAATCCTTATATTGTACTCAACGTTTTACACTGAATAACTGATATCTTAAAACATATATAAAATTATGTGTGAAATTGTTTCTTTTCCTTTATCAAAGAGGGAGGGAAGAAAACACAGGACTTCTTACTAGCATTCTCTACAGTATGTAAGAGGGCAGTAAATCAGGTGCTATATGGATAAGTGATTTCTCTCCTATGCTTTTCCATCTGGAACTGGGTTTCAATAGCTAAGGTAAAACACTAAGTCCTACTGACAGAGCTTGCAAAGACCCTGCATTCTGCACATAAGGTCTTCCTGCCTCTCCACCCTATCCTGGTCTTGTTCGTTATTCTAAGCCTTGGAGAGGGTTTCAATAGCTAAGGTAAAACACCAAGTCCTACCGATAGAGTTTGCAAAGCCCCTGCAAGCTGCAGATAGGGGTCTTCCTGCCTCTCCAACCTATCCTGGTTTCATAATGAATGGACTCTAAGCCTTGGAGAAGCAGGCAAGCGCCTCCTTTGGCTTCCACTTTACAGGGGGCATACCATCTCCTATCCAGGGCTACAGTACTGCAAAAGTAAGGCACCTCAATTCTCTCCAGAGTGTCTTAGAACTCAAAGATGTCCTGTGAAAACTCTTAGCTATGTGTGGTCAGACATCCTGGTCAAACACAAAGCTATTTTTCTGCTTGAGAAACTGCTGGTCTCAATAACTGTCTGGGGTACTCTGTGGTGTTTAGTGGTCAGGTGATATACTCTCAAACTCTGTTTATTTCTGTCACCTCCAGATGACCCAAGCCCATCTCTTTGCCCCAAGAAGGAAATGCTGCTGAGTCCTTTACCAGCTGATATTGCAGTTCTTGGAGCCAACGAAACATTGCAAGACAGTTTCATGCATCTCAATTTGAAGAAAGACCACTGTTTATCTCCCACCATACTTCCATTCTCTTTCAGAATCTGGAATGCCGAGGTTGGGGCTCACATTTCCAACACAAGACCACCAGAACTTCACATATGGGCCTGCATATTCCTTACCTCATGAATGCCTATACGTGTTGGACTGAGAATGAAAACCAGCCTCAGTTATAGTTGGACGCTCTTTGCAGTTCTAGATAGTGAAGGTGGAGATCCATGTGCTTATGTGAAGAAGCAGATCTCTCTCTCTCTCTCTCTCTCTCTCTCTCTCTCTCTCTCTCTCTCTCTCTCTCTCTCTCTCTCTCTCCTCCTGCCTGGGGTGGTTGAACAGGAGACTATAGACTCCCTTGAATACAACAATTGAAAAATAAGAGAAGGATTTCAATCTAGCCCTGGGGCTTTAAACAATCTCCAATAGCTCATCTCAGTCACAAAGAGGAAAGCACTGGGCAGGTACTTCAGGACCCTCCGCCGTGGTAGGAGGGGTATTTAACAGGGATACTGCAACCACAGGCACACAGCCACTGCTGCTGGAAAGGAGCTGTGCTTGCAGCATCCCTTGACATCTGCCTCATTTCAATAATTTCCAGCCGTCAAACCTCTGTCTGAATGAGCATTAGGAAACAGAGCCATGTTTGGTTACTAATTTCAGTCTCTCCCTCACTCACGCCTCTCTCTTTCTCTCCAGTTTGAATTTTATACTTGTGAGGGGGCTCTGGTGATGATTTGGATGCCTGCAGCTTTCCATCCCTGTGACCAGACAGGACATGTTCCTATCATCTGCATCTTCATGAGGACAAGGTAAGACCTGGTGTGAGTGTCTACCATTTCCTTCTGCTGGCTGTCAGCTTCCTGAGCAAGGCAGACATTTCTCTATGAAGAAGCGAGCTGAGACTGAAGCCTCATTTCATATGAGGCCATGCAGGGTCATCCGAAGTCTCTCCCAGGTGCGATAATGCTCTTCACTTATTACAAACCCGAATTTGAAACTGTGACCTGTGAGTTTGCTCCATGCCAATGAACAAATGCTCTGAAATTGATTTGCTGTAAGACATGATGAGCTGCTCTAACTCGCCGGAAGGAGAGGAATATTTCACCTGTGGGTGAGGCGCCCCTCACTGTCTATCAGGCTTACAACTGTTCTGATGGAGAAATGTCTCCAGAGGGGAACTAGCAGGACCAAATCGGATCTACCTGTCACACCAGAGGAGGATGTAAAGTTCTTGATGCTTCTGTCTCTCATTCCCACCCGCCGCGAATTTTGCCTCACAGTGGGTTTACTGTCATGGTGGTTGGTCCATTCAAGAGAATCTTGAATATTCAGAATCATCCCAGTTTACTAATATATATTCACTAGTGTCAGAAATCTGCACATACTATTCCTGAACTTACCACAGTTGCGAGTGTCTCCAGGGCGGCTGGTCACTATGCTTCAATGTCTATTTCTAGAGTATAGGCTCAATTTTATATTACATCCTTTGTTCCTTTGCATTCCCTGTGTTTGTCCTGTAAAACTTATTCCCTTTGCATTGTCGGAAGTCTGGAGAGATGGGAGTGCACTCCACTGCCCAGCCTCTGATGCGTTTGGTGTTACTTGCTCTTTCTTTGCTCTATGAAACTCCCTAGCATTCTGTGATAGATGTTGGGGTTCTGGGAGCCTGCTTAAGGATTAGTGCTCTGATGTTCAGTGAATTTTCTCTCAGCCACATTCAGGTTGGGCTGTTCCTCTCTCCTCAGTGAGGTGTGCAGCACTTCTCCCTCCAAAGCTGAGGAAAGAAATGGGAAATTAAAACTGCTCATAAACCTATATCATTCCCTAATCTTGCAAGGAGTTCCTGAGCAGGCACAGTAGCAGTATTAAAACACGATAGATGATTACATGGGGTGAGTTTTGGGAACTGAACACTTATTTCACCCTTTGTTCAAACCAGAGTCCCTTCGGAAGGAGTGGTTCTGCCCACAGATTGACAATAGACACTTGGAAGGAAGCATGACCTCTGAGAAAACCCCCAAAGGCAGAGTTATTACAACTCAGTCCAGTTCAACTCTCCATCACTTCTTTCTAATTATCTTTGACTCCTGGAAGCACAGAAGGTTCTTTCCTCTGTGGACAGACACACCAAAATCCCATGGCTCTCACTTCAATGGGAATAAAAGATAGTTTATTCTGGAGCCAAATGTGTGTGACCATAGCTGGGAAAACCTGGAGCTAAGTCATCCCAGGTTCCATATTCCTACTTGGAAACTGCTTCATGGGGTTTTATAGAAACAGGGGCGGGGAAGTCCTAAATTATGGCAATTTTAAAATACAATGGCGGTACATCAGAGAGGTGGTTACAGCAAGATGGAGGATTCTCTTGTATAAAACTCAACGCTATCTAATGACTTCCCTTAGCTTTGGGGTTGGTGGGAGCTAGTTATCTGATAAGATAATAGATTCCAAAAGGTAGATATCTGTGGATCACAGGATGTTAGGGCTGATACAGAGGAATGGCTATTTAGGGAACTAAAATTAGAACAAGATAAGGCAATATGATCTGGACCTGCAAGGTTCCAACCTCTCCACATCATTGCTGTTCCAATCAGTCAATCAGTCTTTTGTTTCTTTCCAGGCATTCTCATTAATACCTCCTTATTTCTTGTTCCTAATACTATACCCTCCTCAGTTTATCCCCTATCCGGCAACAAGGAAGTATGAAAGGCACAATGCTTAGCTTACGTACAAAATATTTTCCTCTTTCCTTCAACCCCAAAGTATCCAGAAGAGTTTAGACATATCTGACCATTGGTATTTTTCTCTCTGAGTATTCACGGTCATCCCATTCTGTATCTTTGGTAGGTATTTATACAAACTCCCTTCACTTTCATTGTTTGCCACTGGTTTATGAAACATCATAAACACAGGATGTTTCCATCTTCCAACCACTGTGATTCAGTCTATAAAACAGTGCTTTGTGCAAATTAATGTTCTGGTTATTCAATGCTGTACCATTCACTCAGAAATGTTCCTGTGTGTCAGGAACTAGGGAAGGTCATGTGTTTGACCCACAGTCTGGGTTTCTGCCTCAGGATTGTTCACTCCATGGCAGGAAACTTACCAACTGGAGACTTTCTGGCCTTCCTTCTCCCTTGCAGAACCCTAGGCCTCCGGAGCATCTTCCTCCCTGCAGCTAGTTGAGCTTTCTCACAGCATGGCTAGCCACCTAAGAAAAATGGAGGATTATCTGCATTAAAGGAGAAGTGAACTAGTGAACAGTGAACTAGTCCAGCAGCAGGACCAAGCTAAAATTCCTTTCTGACCTCCTGCCTGTCTTTGTACTCTCTCAGTTACAGGTGACTCCCAGTCCCTTGGACTGAAGGAGAGGAGAATTCACCTCCTTACAGCTGGAGAAAGAGGCAAGATCACAGAAGAGCTGCAGTGACCTTTCAGGCCATTCTTTGAAATCACACCGAGGGTGTTCCACACGGTGGCTAATGAGCCTTATGAATGACCTCCTCACTGAGATTTCCTTCAATCTCCATTTTAATGTTTATTTCTTTTTATTTTGTATGTATGAGTGGTTATCTATATGTATGTATGTACAGCACATGTGTGCCTGGTACCTGGGGGGAGGGGTGCCAGTAGAGGGCACTGGATCCCCTGGAAGTGGAGTTACAGATGGTTGTGAGTAGACATAATCTGTAAATAACAGTTCACTGCTGAGTCATCTCATCAGCCCCATCCACCCCCCATTTTCAAAGAACTGTGTTTCCATTCCAGTATTTAAGATTTCTGCTAGGAAGTGCATTCTGCCATATCTGGAAGAGCATGCTGCATGTTCAGAGTCTCAGTCTTCTATACCTGCTCTTCAAAAGAGCACAGATTCTTTTTTTTTTTTTTTTAATTTATGTCATGCACTTTCTTACAGTGGTGACCATCAAAAGGATTCAGTGTGGTTTAACTCTCTATAATGTGTCTTCAGGATGAGTCTAGAAATTTTAACTTATCCCCCGCCATACCAGCAGTCATACTCCATGCCACTGTCATTAAAATCCACTTTCTGTGAAATGTTATAGATTTTCTTCGTTCACAATTTTTGGAATTTGGTTTTCGAGTCTGACCTCTCCCAAGGCATCCATGGTGACATTTCTGCTCCTATTTCCAGTGGCTTCTGAGGTGCAAGTAATCCCTTCAAACTGGGTCAGATTTGCTAAAGAAACTACCAGAATAATGGCCACTAGATGCTGGGAAGAGGAAGAGATAGGAGGAAGAAGTTCAATAAGGGGCAGAGGAGGAGTTAGTTCTGGCTTTTCTAAGCAAAGTAGGTAAACTATTGATTTGAACAGTCTATCAGATATTTTCAAGGGCCGTAACAGTACAAAATTCCCAACATACCAAAACAGTGCCGAAAGATATAGAAATGCTAACAGCCTTGTTTTGATTGCTATGTATTGTGCACACACATTGAATTACTATGATATATTTCAATAATTATGTTGGAAAGCTCCACCTCTGAGCCTGCCTTCAGTAATCTAATCATCGCAGTATGTGTCATCATCAGCCAACAAAATACGAAGTATTTCCACTGTTGCCATGAGTTGTGTATCCTTGGTATGTGCATGTGCTGCACCCCTTTGTAAAAAGCCAATCCCTTCTCTTTGCCCTCTTTCCCCTTCCACCTAATAAACTTTTCACATGAGATCTGTCACATGGTGTGACTTTGTGGCATCCTTGGCTCCAATCCCCCAGGATACCTTTTGCTGTTTAAATCATAATGAATTCTATATTTCGATGTATAAATAATTAATAAAAAATGTGTAATGCTTCATCTTCTAACAAAGAGGTAATAAAGTGATGAAGTAGTTCTAAAACCCAGAAAAAGAATAATACCGTACAGAAGATAGTAGAAACAGGAAACAAGGAAGATGCCACTGCTGTTGATGTTCTGCACTGCAGGCTGAAAAATGGATAGCAGTCTAATTCCCCAGGAAAATGCTGCTGTGGAAATTACTCTGACCTTCTGTCTTAGTTACTTCTCCCATTGCAGTAGTAAAATACCCTGACGAAAACAACTCAAGCAAGAAAGGGTTCTTTTTGGCCTCCTTACTCAAGAAAGAAAAGGGTTCATTCCAGGGTTTGGTCCACCATAGTGGAAAGTCCTGGTAGCAGGAGCTTGAAGCAACTGATCCCATGTACCTACTGTCAGGAAACAGAGAACAGTGAGTCATCTAACTTTCTCCTTTCTGTGCAGTCCAGGACCCAAGCCTAGGGAAACCATATTTTGGACAGGTCTTCCCACATTAGTAACCCTAATGAAGACAATCCCTCACAGTCATGCCCAGGGACTAATCTGATCTAAATTATCCCTTAATGGTATGCTTAGAGGCTTGTCTCCTAGGTGATCCTAGAGCCTATCAAGTTGGTCATCAAGATGCGAAATATCACACCCTCCCTTCTCAGATCTTGGGGCAAGGTATGTAATTGCAGTCTGGCTTGGAAGAAGAATGAATTCAGATTCCGTCAGATTATTTGCACTTGCAAATCCACTATGTCTTTTGAGAAGCAAGGAGGAAGAGGATGGGAAGAAACAAGGACAGAAAGGAATAAGGAAAAAATAGGTCAATGGGTGAAAATTTTCAGAAAGTACTTCCATTGAAGAGTCCAGTTCTGATTCCAGGATGTTATCAGACAATAGACCAGAACTCGTCATTTGGTGAACCTATCTGGACTCCTGTAAAGACAGAGGCTAAGAAAGTACGTGGATGCAAATGATTTCCTAGGGAAGGGTAGTCTACCTTGGAACTGTGGGGGAAGTGAACGAAGCTAATATGGGCTGCATTTGAAAACATGAGAAAAAATGTCAGATATGAGTTCAAATCTACTAGACCCCTGGATAAGTCTATGTAGAACACCTCAGACTCATCTCTTATCTCCTTTAGTCCTTCTTATAGCTAATATCTGCTCTCCCAGCAATGTGTGACCAGATCCTTTACTGAATACCAAGTATTTGAAATACCTAGACTGAGACAATCTCAGGAGTACAGACCATTGCCTCAATGAAACACTGACTCTGATGTTTTCATCCCCATATGATTTCATCTGACTTCGTCCAGACCAGGTATCATATGAGAAAATTATTCACCAAATCTACTTGCTTACTTAACTTGTAATGACTGGTAATAAGACACCAAAAAAACATAACATAACATAAACATTCATCTGAATCCTCTGGAGGGCTGTGGAGTCCCATTCCCAGAGTTTCCAGTGTCAAGGATGTAGAGTGCAGCCTGATAATTGAATTTTTCTAACAAAGTCCTTGGTGACGCTGATGTTGAATGGAGCCACACTTTGAGGGCCATAGATTACTATCATGGCATCACAGTGGGCATTGCAATAAGCTGGGCAGTGTGTAGGAGGACGTGGGCAGCTGCAGAATGAAGAGTCCAGAAGGAATGAAAGACAAATGACTCAAGTATCCTGAGCAGTCTCCAAGCAAAGGGATCTTGTTTTCTTAGACCATGGCAAGGCCAGAAACGGAACCAGTCTCCAAGCAGCCACTGTGCTGTGACCAGTTGACTTAACAGAGGACAGGAGTAATGTGGCCACATAATAGAAGAGATTCATCTCTACACAAGCAAGAGTAACCGGCTTTCAAGTCACCAGATCAGATCAGTAAGACTTATTATGATTTTGTTGCTGTTGTTGTTGTCTTACTGTGGCACAACATGAGAATCTTTGACTCCATAATTTAAAAAAAAAACAAACAAACAGGTATGAGAGCTTAAGAAACACCATGGAAACAGTAGAGAGGGGGAGCCTAATGATTGAGACTATCTTAAACGGCAAAGAGAGACATCACTATTGTGTTTTCATCAACACAAATGGTTCGTAATTACGCTGTCACCCTGAAGTGTGATGTCCCCATCAGGGACAGGCTGGAGGGATGGACTAGAGAGGACAAACTGCACAGAGCCCCAGAATAAGCTGCAGACCTCTCTACACCACGTGACTGGTGCATTTGGTGGAATATCTTGATCTTTTGAGGGCCAGGTTCCTTTACTTGTCTGTAAACTAGGATAACAATGTCCACACCACTAGCGTGTTTCAAAAGATCCAAAGAGATAATAAAAGAGAAGTGACTTTGCGGACTGTAAGGTGTTCTTGGAGAGCTGCCTTTGTCTGAGCAGCATGGAGAGGAGGAGGCCTGTCCCTCCCGGGTGCTTCGGGATTACACTGGAATGTGGTAGAGAGGAGTTCCCAGGTTGAAGTTTACTATCAATGCAAAGATGTTTATGTTTGGGGCTTCAGCGGTGGCAGTTCAGTCCATTTCACCGGAGACTCAGTTTTAGGCAACCATCAGAGCAAGATCATTCTCTTGTCTCCTTTACTTCCAGTCTGCATCCCATCCTCCATTGCCCAGCCCAAAAGGTTTGGCGAGTGTCCTTGATTCATGTGGATCTTTGCAACAGCGAGAACAATTGCAGACCTCTGCATGACACTGTGATGTGTCTGTGTTTGAGCCGGGTTTTCACTCCACCCATTTCTCAATATGATCCCCAGTGACTGCTTTACATTAACCACTTCCTAATTAGATTCCTAACATCAGGTAATAAAGATTTTATTTTTCCAATTAAGAACCAAAAAAAAAAAAACCAAACAAATAACTAAGGAAAAAAATTACTATCTACTTATCATTTTATCAAAAAGGAGCATTTTAACAACAAAACACTAGACAAGGGTAGAATTTCAGGCTACAGGATGGGTTTTTTGTTCTTATTTTATTTTATTTTATTTTGGTTTGGTGGGTTAGTTTTTCTTTGTTTTGCATTGAATACATCTCAGAAAACCCCACCCATTCCTCACATCTGTGCACAGCAAAGTTGAATCCTGAGCTGCAAATGGGAAGGCATGGAAGTGGGCAAAATTATTTTGTAATTCCAAGTAGAAACGGTTTAGCGCTGCCTCCACAGGTTCAAGTGGGACCTACACAGTCGCTCAAGACCCTGAGCTTCCAAAGACTTTGTACACTCTTAACTCTATACCTTCGCTATTTTGAGGGTTGTTCTTCATTACTTCTGTGCATGAGGCCCTGTGTTTTCATTTTGTACTAGGCCTAGGTCTCTCTGTTGGACAGTAGCTTTCCAACACACTCTCTACTACTAATTACAATTGTAGCCCTTGTCCCAATGATCCACAGCAGGTAAACTGAAGAGGATAGCTATATATTGCTAAAGCTATTTACAAATAGCAGACTGATCCCATGGACCACCATTGGTTAATCTCTGTCTGGTAACATAGGTTTAGAGTAGGTAGCCTGGATTCAATAATGAACCAGGCTGTGGCTGCATGACCCTGTATGATTAACCCAGACCTCTCATAGTGTTACTTGCCCAATTTTGTAAACTTAGATAAGAGCATGGCTGCTGTCAACATTTCATGAGATGGTGTGCATGAAGACCCTCCTACTTTCATATTGTGGTGATATATTGTGTACCCTGATAAAATTTGCCTGAGGATGAGAGAACAGAACAAGCCACTAGATTAAACATATATGCCAAACAGTGGTGGCGCACACCTTTAATCCTAGCACTCTGAAGGCAGAGATCCCGGATTTCTGTGAGTTCAAAGCCACCCTGAATTATATGAAATTGATTCAGTCTAGGAGAGAAACAGAGCCAGGCAGTGGTGGCACACACCTTTAATCCCAGTACTTGGGAGTCACATGCCTTTAATGCCAGCACTTGAGATCTCATGTCTCTGCTACCAGTATTTGGGAAGCACACGCGTCATTAATCTCAGCACTAGGAAGGAATTATATGGCTGGGTGGAGAAAGGTATAAAAGGCATGAGGAGACAGGAACTAAAAGCCCTTTTCGACTGAAGCCCCTTTTGGCTGAAGCCTTTTTGGCTGGACCCCTCTCGGCTGAGGACTTAGAGACATTCAGTCAGAGGATTCGTGGAGTTGGCAAGGTGAGAAGTAGCTGTGGCTTGTTCCTTTGTCTCTCTGATCTTTCAGCATTTACCCCAATATCTGGCTCCAGGTTTTTTATTATAAGACAATTTTAGAATTCATGTTACATCATACAAACTTAGAAGTAGAATTACTCTCATTTTTATTCTTACAGAGAATTTTTTGTTTTATTTTTGTTGGGTATTTACATATGTTGGGTGTTTGGGTCTCTGTGTGTTGCCTAGACTGGCTTCAAAATATCGGTTTCACACAAAATATCCTGCCTCAGTTTCCCAGTAGCTAGGGCAACAGGTGTGTACTGCACCTCACTCTAAATCTGCCAGAATAGTGACTCTCTCTATTCTAAACTCATGTTATTTGCATATTCCATCAGGAAATCTCTCTGAGAAGCTTCCAGAATATATATTAGAACAAGGAGGACAATGTATTTTAGAACAAGAAAGAGGAATGTATAGTAGAATAAAGAAATATTTGAATTATATCCCTTTTTCTTCCCTTTCAAAATCAATCCCTTTTGGCTAAAATTAGTGACACTTTGAAAAAAATGAATATAAAGAGGGAGAATATTAGAGCAGAAAGATTTAAACATGTGGGGTGATACAGGGTCTGGGAAAATGAGATATGTAGAAGATTTAACCAAAAGAGAGGTAGATGAAAAAGCATATATGGAACCCAATTATCTTCTAACCCAAGGGATAAATTCATTTATAAGAAGCAGTAGAATATGGGTGATATGA